AATAAAAAATTGTAAACGATATACGGCAACGTTCAATGCACGTTGCGGAATTGCACATTGCCAAAAGGTCTTTTGGCAATGTTCATTGCACGTTGCCGAAACTCAGTTTCCGCAATGTGCATTGAACGTTGCCAAAACTTGGGGCAATGAACGTTACCAAAACTCTTCGCTCTATGGCAATATTGAAATCCACAACAGACGTTTGAATGTTGCCATAGGTCTACGACAACGTTTTTTGCCCGTTGCTAAAAGTGATTTTTGGTGTAGTGATTGCTCTAGCACTTCCTAAATATAAATTCGCCCAACAACTTAGTTCCGTCTTCTTTTCCCAGCTACAAAACTTGCACAAATTTCAGCCAGATGCAATTTAATGAAATTTTTCAATAAAAATTTTCGGAAATAGCAAAATGGTAGCAGTAAAAATAATGGGGAAGAATTTTGTCCCCGATCCTTTAAAAGTAAATATAAATTACTTGCTAAAAGTTCTTATTCAATACGAATTTCAAAAAATGAAAATTTTGAGATTAGTTTTCGAACGTTCTGGTGCTTGAACAAGATTAATTCTTATTTATACGATTAAATTCAATTCATGATATGAATGATAACACAAACATAATCTCAATGCTTAAGGAACAAATTGTACTAACAGGGAAGGGTTAATTATGTGAATGGTCACTGAACTTTGTCCTATGTTACTACTTAGTCACTGAACTTAAAAATGTAATTCAATGAACACTGAACTTCGCTAAGTGTTATTACTTCATAACTGAACTTTAAAATGTATCTCAATGGTCACCGAACTTTGCACCATATTACCCATCCGTCACTCAAATGGAAAAATTCGTTAAGTCCAACAAATGGCGTCAACTTGAGTGACAGATGAGTAACACGATGCAAAGTCCGATGACCATTAAGATACATTTTAAAGTTCGATTATGAAGCAGTAACACTTGGCGAAGTTCAGTGACCATTGAGTTACGTTTTTAAGTTCAGTGACTAAATAGTAACATAGTTGAAAAATCAAATCGACCTCAGTTATATTGGCACTATTCAACATTTTTGTACTTTTATTTAATTTTTCTTTGTCAATTTCTTTTAGTGTTCCAACTATTTTTCTTTCAATCTATTTATGCGGAATTTGAGATACGGTGAATTGATATCAGTTAATCTAAAAATCAAACGTACTTTTTCACCATGATGGATGAATATTAGCAACAATTCTATTTTTATTTAATTTATAGATCTCTGATTTTCTGTTTCCTCTTTTTTCCCTTCATTTTCTTTGATTTCTTCTTTTATAGAGGTCAATTTGAGAAGTTTAGCCCTTGTTTGATTCCAATTTTGAGGGATAAAATGAATTTTTGAATAGTATATTGATGAAAAATGTGTAGTTAAAAAATAAGGAAAAATTTTGGACTTGCGTGTAATATTATCTAATTGAAGAATGTGTGGTTGAATGATATCAAATCACTGTTTAAGAATGTAATTTTTTATTTTTTTTTGAAAGAATGGAACTCAAACAAGGGATTAATAATTCAATTTAAAAATATATCTTAATAATCACTGAACTTTGCCCAATATTACTACTTAGTCACTGAACTTAAAAACGTAACTCAATGGTCACTGAATTTCGCCAAGTGTTACTAGTTCACAACTGAACTTTAAAATGTATCTCAATGGTCACCGAACTTTGTACCGTGTTACCCATCCGTCATTCAAGTTAACGTCATTTGTTGGATTTAACGGATTTTTCCATTTGAGTGACGGATGGGTAATACGGTGCAAAGTTCGATGACCATTGAGATGCATTTTAAAGTTCGGTTATGAAGTAGTAACATTTGACGAAGTTCAGTGACCATTGAGTTACGGTTTTAAGTTCAGTGACTAATTAGTAACATAGGGCAAAGTTCAGTGACCATTCATATAATTAAAGCTTTTAATGATTATTTACATAAAATATTTAAATGAGCACAAGTAAAATTATTCTCAGTCCATGCCATTAATTTTTATTTTTTTTTCTATATTTTGAAATCAATTTATTATTTTTATTTTACTTTTGTATAAAGAAAAAAAAATTACATAACTCACCAACTCTAAAATGTATTATTACTCAATAATATATTAACATAACATCATTCTATTTTTATTGAATAATCAAATTTCATGGAATAAAATGCTATAAAACAAATTTTCAAACTTTCAAACTGACAACCAAACACGCATTTTACAATTTTATTCCAAACACGTTTTTAACAATGTTATAAATGTTTTTAAAATTCTCTATTTTGAGAAACAACTTCTTAAGATGACAACCAAACACATTTTTAGCAATTTTAAAACTAGCCCTCAAAATAGAAAACTGAAAATTAACTCAAAACTCAAAATTAAAACACAAATCAAATGTACCCTTAACTTCTTCTTTTCTCTAGCATTGAGTAATATGTGTGTGCGTATGTGTTTTTTTTTTTTCGGCCCCTCAGGTTGGTCATTAATTCTTCCAATAAATCTTGATCGGGGAAATATGTAATTTTGTGGGTTTGATTTTATTTCTTTTCCCCCTTAAATGACAATCACAAGATTTCAAACCTGTATTTATGGGATTTTTATAGGGAAAAGTTCATTTCTAAGAGTTTATCTATAGCCTATTTCAAAACTAAGAGAGAGAGGTTTACAATTTCAAAATTCAGATATTATTAAAATTTACTTATGAAATAATTGATCAAAAAAATATTTTATTTAATTTAACATATTAAGGTCACAAATCTATATAATTTGGTCACAGCTCATCAAATTAATTGGTTACAAATTATTTCTAAGTTACAAATTGAAAATTTCATCGGTCACAAATTATTTATTAGTCACAAATAAAAAATTTCATAGGTCACAATTCATTCACCGGTCACAAAATAAAAATTTTTATTGGTCACAACTTATCAAATTATTGATCACAACTTATTTTTCGATCGCAGATTGAAAATTTTATGTCACATAAAATTTTTGGAAGAAAATTTTTCGATCACCAATCCAAAAATTTTATAGGTCAAAATTATTCATCGATCACAGATTTAAAACTTTTATTTGTCACAATTCATTTATTTATTACAAATTATTGGATTAATTAGTCACGATTAATTTTTTCAATCATAACTTAGTCAATTATGAATCACAATCGGGAGTCACAGTCACAATTTTTCAGGTCACATATCCAATTACAATTATTAGTTAGAATCAACCAAATAATTGATCACAAACATTCATTCCCATCTCATCCCACCCCCCACGACCGCTACCACACAAATACCAAATCCGCCAAGATCTCCCACCACAGCCACCACCGCAACACCTCAAACAAATCACTACCACCACACAAACACCAGATCCTTCAAGATTCACTGCACAAACACCAGATCCGCCCACCTCCACCACCATCCCAGATCCATGACCACCTCACCAGGAAAACACCACCACATCTCAAAACCACCAAATTCGTCGAGATTCACCACACAAACATTAGATCCGTCCATCTCAAAACCACCAAATTCGTCGAGATTCATCACCCACCGCAACACCTCAAACAAATCACTACCACCACACAAACACCAGATCCTTCAAGATTCACTGCACAAACACCAGATCCGCCCATCTCCACCACCATCCCAGATCCATGACCACCTCACCAGGAAAACACCACCACATCTCAAAACCACCAAATTCATCGAGATTCACCACACAAACATTAGATCCGTCCATCTCCACCATCCCAGAGCCACGACCACCTCACTAGGAAAATATCACCACATCACATTAATATAAAGCTCATTCTCAAGCTCCTTCACTTGATTGCTGGCAAAATCTAGCGACTCTTCTCAAATCTCAGTGGCACAGAATTTGACACCACAGCGCCGTGGTGAAAACAACCGCCAAACTTAGATCGTGCTGTGGCCAACGCCTCTTCGATCGTGCTGCAATCGGCAACGCTTCCCAATGAGTCCATGCTATGCAGTGGGTTTGGAAGGGGTGTCGATTGCGACCGACGCCTCTTCGATCGTGCTGCAGTCGACGACGCTTCCCAGTGAGTCCGTGCAGTGGGTTTGGAGGGGGTCTCCACTGCGGCGGCTACAACGACAACCAGTGTGGACGAAGAGGGGAGAGAGAGAGAGAGAGAGAGAGAGGAGGGAGGCGACGGTGGTATGGAGAGAGAAAGAAGAAAGAGTGAATTTATTAGGGTTTGAGAAGGTAAATAGTAGTGGGTGAATATATAAAATAATTTAATTTTCATAATATTATTATAAATATTAAAAATAATATATTATCATATGATTTTTATATAAAAATACCATAAATATGATTTTTGAAGTCGAATCTTAAAAGTTCTTATTGGCTGTAATTTCCACATTTTCCCCCCTTAGTTTTTAAGCCCAAGTTTTCTTTTTTATGAATCACAATACAAGAAATGAAGTTTAGTTTAACCTCCTTATCATATCATTTAGCTCCAAAGTCCAACATTCGGTATTTTCCTTTTTCTTGTTACATTCTCCTGCAAAGTTTTTTCCTTTTTTTATGACCGTGAGTATTCGAATCAACTTACGCACACCTCGACTAATTTTACAGGACCCTAAAATTTACAGCCGGGTACTCACCTCAACAACCCTGAGGAAACTCAAACTGGTGATCATTGGAGAGCAAACTTAACACCTGACCATTGAACCATTCCTCAAGGTTAATTCTTCCAATAAAGTTGGTCAATAAACTTATATTCTTATGGGTTTTTCTTAGTTTATAATCCCAAGAATCTTACTTATATGAATTGTAATCCAACAAATCATGATTTAAAAAATGGAAATCTGTTAAATTTCTTCACAATTACGATGGATGAGGAATTATTTTGACAAGGTACTGTTTGAATTTTGTTTTCTACAGATAAGTCTAGGAATTATAGTATAAAAAACTTTGTTATTTTGTTGTCAGGGTACTCTTCTACCATTAAACCACTAGAGCAGTATAGTTAAAAGCCTTATAACATTAAAATCATGTTAATTTTTATGATTGGTCTTTCCATATCAATACAAAGAATTTAATTCAAAATTCTCCCTGATACTATTTGAAAAATCACGAAGATTGTTAACAATCTCATTTAAACTTAATCTACTAGATAGAATCATACATGTCTTGTCACACAGTGTCTTCGACTGGTCTCCTCGATACATGCCTGATCCAACTTCAAGATGTATCTCATGCTCAGTTATTGACTATTAACGCAAACATGACTTGATTAGTACGGTAAACCGCATGGTTAAAGAAAAAAGAGATTAAAATCTTATCTATAATAGTGTTGAATCTAACACTATTTACAAAACATACCTCTTAGAGACAATTGGTGGAAGGTTGCTCCAGGGGAGAGAGATTATCATATCGGGCAAATTTGGAGACTTCGCAATCGCAGCAAGTTACACGTCTCGTTAAATGATGCGAGTCTGAAGGAAAAGTGCAACGAAGTGGTTTCCAGCAACTAAGCTTCTCACCAAGTATGTCTGGGTGTGCTTCCCAGAAACTCTTTTCAATTATATTACAGTGTTCAACTACTACTTTGCAGCATTTTCGAACGGGCTCGTTACCTCGGTTCGCCATTTTCTCGTCGTCATGCTGCATGTATTACTTCCAATGTTACAGCCAGAAAAGAGGAAGGATGCAAATTTCTGGAATAGTAAAAGAAAAATTAAAAATTAAAAGGCTCTATTTCTTATCATTGTATATTTATTAAAAGATCTATATATAATGCAAGAGACAGATTAACCATGTGCCAGAAAACAGAGGATCCTCGGCGGAACATGAGCGGTAATGTGTTGTAATAATCAATAATGCCAGATAGCTGCGTAAGAAGTTCATTTTTCTCTTGAGACTGAGTACCCTGTAGAACAGAATATAACAAATGCTCAGAGATCAAGAATTCCTTTCAGTGTAAAAATTAATTCTCTTACAATCTTGAGAAATTACATTGATGGAATCATTACATCCAGGCCTTACAGCGGGTTTGGCTAAGCATAAAAAATGTAAAATTATGCATGACTTACTATTCTAGAAAAAAACTACTTTTTATGAAAGAAATCCCCCCCCCCCCCGACCTATTTATAACGTTTACCAATAAACTAAGAGGTAATTTGACAAAGGTTTTGATAAAGTCGTGGATCCCATAAAATATGTGGTTAAAATTAAGTGTGTTCACAAGGTTTCTCATAAAATGTGTTCCCTAACAAGTGAAGCTATTAAACTATACTAAGAATCTAGTAACTCAGCATATGAAGTGATTTAGCACCTTCAAGTAGTTCTGAGCTTCACTTTTGCTCTTTCCGGATTTTACAAGCATCCAAAAACAAGTGTTATACTGATTGTTAATGTGGCCTGGAAATCACAAAGCAGTAATATAAACCTCTATTTTTAAGATAGTGGACGATTGAAATTATAGCTTACAAGACAAGAATAAGAGCATGTTTGACTAAGATTACAAAAATGTAAAATTTACTTTATAAAGTTTTTGTTTTTAAACATCCTTACGTAACTTACCATAGTTTCTACTTTTAAGTAAAAAAATAAATAAAATAATAAAAAATTAGAAAGAAGATACTTACATTGGTAGAAACTCTTATCTTATTTCTAACTTTAACCAATAAAAAATTATTTATTTTAAAAATTATTCTACATGTAAACCTTTTACACTATGACACACGTTTTAAGGATTTTTTTCATACAAATGCACCTTTGCTGCCAAAAGATGATTTTACAAATCAAATGAGAAGAAAGCCACTCACAATCAACTTGTCTCCATGCTAGATAATCTAGTAGAATCTCAGAGGTCGGGTAGCAAACAGCCCGCCCGTCAAAGTATGGTACATGTTTCAACTCTTTCTGTGGGAAAAACTCCTTCCATTTAATAGTGTACATGGAAGAGAATAAAGAGACAATGGCAGATACTATTTCACTGCAAATTTGTAAATTAAATAGAAAGAATTGGTTTAGATTGATTGAAATAGTGCATACAATGTATGGAACTTATGAGCAACCTTCCATTGAAAAACCAACTTAATTCTAGGACCTATAAGACATGGAGGGAAGGGATACCTGGAGCGCCTTTGATACAGCTGAGACTCTTTCTTCAAAACAAAACTGAAAGTTACTAAATTTGTCAAATGTGAGAAGCTAGGAATTGTTATTTGAGCAGGAAGAAGTCGTAAAATGTAGTACAATTTTACTACCTGTATTCATCACTAACCCCATAAGAGAAGACTATATCCCTAAACTCTTCTAGCACACCTACGGCACATGAATTCATTAAGTTTAGAGCCTGTGCATCATTTGGCTTCTCAAATTCATGGACATCAGAAAACCTGTTATAAAGCCAAAAGAAAAGAATGCAATGTCACACTCATAACATGAGAAAACATAACAAGCAACAAAAAGGACACACATGTTCAGTTAAATGTAATAGCACGAGAATAGTGAATAGTTTAACACCAATGACTTTAGGCAATTAAGGTTAAGTGAAGCTTAAGGTAATTTACCTATGAAAATGACAACCATCAATGCGAATAACAATCCAAGTGGATGGCATCATCTTGCTTCCATGCAGGAAAGATTTGACATAGTCAGGTTTAATTTTGTTAACATCCTCTGCAAATTGTCCGAGCTCCCTACAAAGACACAAGTAGTCATTCCAGAAGCTCCTTGATGCTATATTTTTTGAATGAACTTTTATGGCCTTCATCCTCAGTCTTTGAACAGGAGAACCATCCTTGTTGTACTTCACAATATGTTGAACCTAGGTCAAAATAGACAAAAGATGGACAAGTCTGGTTTTATGTAGAGTGCATTCATATATCATAAGCAAACAAAATCACATTGATTATAGACGGTCACGGGCCCCCCCCCCCCCAAAAAAAAATCATTATAAATTATTTGTTTGTTGCAATTGAAAATAAAGATATTATTGTTATTCAACTTATGGCTTAAGGCATGGTAGAGATAAGCATAAGATAATATCTTTGGGATATCATTCAGTTTGCCTGATGAAGTAAAACAGATCCAAAAATTTCTACCATAGATTTCACATAATTAATATCTAAGACAACAATTTCTATCATGAGTGTCACATTAAAGTCAACAAACATGAAAAGATTATTATATGTAAGACGCCATTAAACATAATACAATTTGAAACTATTGAAATGATGGAACAAACTGAATTTCTTGAAGCTACCTCTGTCTTGAGAATACATGTCCCTTGACGAAAGATGGCTTCTTGTTCTTTATAGTTAATATTGAACCCCTCATAAAGCAACTCATTTTTGTCCTGCTTATGTGTTCCCTATAGAAGTTTCAAATAAAAATGAACACAAGTATTTTCAACTACTGAGCGTGCGAAAAATTTGGATGAAACTCACAATGACCACATGTACGAAAGAAATGTAAACACAGATAGAGATAAGCAGAAGATCATGCTCAATCCAGACTGAATTTGTTTACTTGGAGCTAAAACCATCTAGTAGATGATTTGAAACTTCCATATGAACAAACTTTGAGTCTTTAACAGTCAAGTGCCAACACGACAATTTCATTTTGATGCATTCCAAGCTGAACCACAAATCTCAGAATCAACCACCACAAGTATATGTGAAGCTTAAGTCTTTCTTGTTATTTGTTGTCAATATTGCAGTAACATCTCCTTTGATTAATAGAATTACCTGATTACTTATCAAAAAAATATATATATATTGCAGTAACATCTAATCCATTTTTCTCTTTTTTGGTACAGTTCACCTCCAGCAAAATATGCGATATTCATACTGATGTCCTCACATGAATGTTCAGCATACCCACAAACAAGAACTGTTTTTACGACATTGACAAAATTGAGCAATTCATAAAATGGAACGCCTTAGACTGTAAAATATAAATTTATGCATGTATGGAAACATAGAAACAAGTATATCTTACTTTTTACTACAACTGTATTTCCTTTGAAAGTAATCATGCAACAGAGCATATTTGGCCTTGCTTCTTTAGTAAAGAAGCCACTTAAAGAAGGTCAAATATTTGTTTAGATCACAGAAGCAAATATATTTAATTTTACTAAAACTGCATTTCCTCTGAAACTGACTAAATCATGCAACTACTTCATTAATGTGGAAAACCATAAAAATTTATTTCCATGTATTTCACCTTCAGTATTTCTTCAGCTTCCTTTCCAGATTTTCCATTTCTGATCAGCTCCCATAGACAAGTATTGTACTGGTTGCTTAAATGACCTGCCAAGAGAATTGGGTTTAAGCCAATTCAAATAGAACTTCTCTATATCACTAATATATATATATTCTACACTCAAAATCTTAATCATTATTCAAATGCAGATTTAATGATTTATACAACTAAGTCAGAAACAAATTATAAACTTACATTCGCGCTGTCTCCATGCAAGATATGCTTGAAGAACCTCCATTGATGCACAGCTAATAACTTGTGATTGGAAGGAAGGGGGAAATCTCATCTCTGTCTGAGGAAAGAATTCCTTCCATTTTGTGACGTATACGGATGAGAAGTAAGAGATGATGAGTGAGAATATTTTGCTGCATAGCCATTTCTGTTGTCAGCCAAGCTCATTTTAAAACAGATATGACGGATTTCATACTCCTAATAAATTTATCGTGGAACTAGAACTGAAAATTTTGGTATCGAAATATTATATTTAAGGGAAGTTATTGGCACATCTAAAAGACTAGACTAGTCTTCTAACTGATCCGTTGGATACAAAAATCTAATGAATTCCTAATGCACCACATGTACAATTACAGCACATGGAGAAAACATCTCCAGTATAACTAAATGCTACATAAAAATGCTTAGACAATGCTAATAATTGTCATTCATCATTCTTGAGATTTTCTATTCACGGGCAACCAACAATTAAGCTGTCAATTGAAGTAAAGATTTCTGAATGTAAACATAGGCTGAAAAAAGATATGCCGTAGGTAATCATAAAAGCTAGTTATGCTTGACCATGCATGAAATTCAATTCTCTAGTTGTTGCAAAAAAATTTCAATTCATATTACTACTAACTAAAATGAGAATCTTTTTACGCAAAGGAAATAGTGAAAGTGAATGCGATTGAAATTGAACCCCCATCTTCAAATTGGGTTCTTCAAAAAATTTAGGATTTCAGTAAATTTGTTGGTGTGTCCTGCAATGGATATAAAAGTAGACTCTTGCAATTATTCGAGAAACTGGAGGCTAGTAGGAGACAAGGGATGAGTACACGATGAGGTAAATCAAGAAGAAATGGTGAGGCAAATTATGACGTTAAGGGTGGCAAGTCAAAGAAAGGAATGCTGGGGAGGGATGACAGAGCGTTAAAATGATCCCAAAACTGGAATGTAAGGGGGCTTGATGAAGTTGGAAAAATGCTAGTTGTTCGAATTCTGACTTTGATTACTTAGTTTAATGCCGCGGCTACTAATCCTATAGAAGGACTGCCTAATTTAATGTTGTTTATTTATTGCTTAAATTGATAATACACTTTCTATGTATTCTCTTTTGATTAATAAATTTTCATGATTACCTATTAAAAAAAGGGGAAAAAATGATAATTACTCACTATTTCATTAACCATCATTTAGGTGGCTGGTGAGGATTCTTATCCAGATAAATCTACTAGAATGAGAAAAATTACTTTTTGATAGAAATAGAGATCCAAACTAATTCACTTTCACGAAGATGTTTGATTACATTCTAGTCTTTTAACTTTGAAACACTATAGTTTTACTTCTAGCACAATAGACCGTAGCTTCCCCACTTTACTAGGTCTACTACAACCTTGCCAAATCACAACCTTAAAGGCTCTTAGACCATACATATAACCCACTTAATGCTACAAGTGGTAAACGGTCAATGTCTCCCAAGTTGCTGACTGGGCCACACTAGACCTCATGTAGCTATGCCCACGGTTAGGCAAGGACTGCTTCAAACATATACTCATTTAACTATTAAACAATTACAAAGTTCCAAGGTGCTAGAAAATCCTAATAATTAATATTTTTTTCAATTTTCTTTTGCCTAGATAAGCATCATCCACAAGCAAATGTACACCATATTCTAATTTGAAATTCGAGCAACCACACATGATCTCTAAGCAAGTGCTGTACACTAAAAACAACCACATAGGAAGTAAAAACATTTCAAAGGTTATATCACGCAACATATGCCATACATCAGGTGCAACAAAACCTTATAATGAACTTAAAATTAAAGAAATTATAGGCAGCAATAAGGTGAAAACACGAACCTTGCACGTCTCTGATAAAAATTCGTTTCCTTCTTGAACACAAAACTGCAGAAAATACATATATCAACTCAGCAATATATTAAGAAATAAAGAAATGCCAACTCATTTAATAAACAATGTAGTTTCTTTACTCTACCTATACTCATTGCTGAACCCGTATGAGAAAATAATATCTGGGAACTGCTCTGAAACCATTTTGGCACAGTCATTCATCAACTCTAATGCCCTCTTGTCATTAGGCTTCATGAACTCGTGCATTTCAGAAAATCTAATTAATACATAGAAAAATGGGTCATGCACCAGTACAGTGAAGTTTTAGTGTCGTAATTCCCTGCATATGCTTTTTAATTTAATGTACCTGCTGAAATCCCGGCCATCAATGTTGACAACAATGATGTTGGGCAGCATAATTTCATCTTCCACCTCAAAGGATTTCACGTACTCGTACTTACTATTCGCCATATCAATATGGAATGCTGAAAATCTCCATAGGGAAATAGGACAAACACTGGGTAGGCAAGGATAGAGACTAGTTTTAGGCTATTAGCAATAAACCATTACAAATTTTATCTAAATAATTGATCTTACATTCTTGTTGGCCGCAGCCATCACCCTTAATCTCCCTCCTCCCCAAAAAGCTACCCGTTTCAAGAGCAATTTTTCTATCAAGTTCTAAAAGCAAAATTGATGCATGTGGCAAGATCAAATTTCTCAAGAACCCATTAAAATCCGGCTTTGAAGCGAGTTGAAATGACGTGATTATATCAATTTACTTTTAAATGTGAATGCATTTTATCATTAACCACTTTAAATTTATTTTGCTGTATTCTTGACGTTGTGTTATGATAAATTTAGGGCTAATCAATATTGTTCACTTGTGTTATGATCAATTGAAGTCCATCATTTAGGGTGGAATTTAAACTAAAACAAAGAGGTCAGACTATGATAATTTATCGTGACCATTAAATTGGTTGATCAGTGATCAAGAAATGTTGAGAGACAGAGAGAGAGAGATGATCTAATGAGTACCGGTACTTAATTTATATTGAATTGTTGATTTAAAGATTTGTGAGTTATATATGTTGATTTGTTAATAGATTATGAATGATTTTTTCAACTTAAATGAAAGTCTCAACCTAGTTCTTATAATATCGGATTGTATTGGATTATATTTTCATATTTATATGATTTTACGTTTTTGTGCATTTATATATTAATTGAAGAATTTTTAATATTATTTAGTTAAATATTAATAAACGATCTAACTATTGTAGACGTCAACGGCCACCCTAGGTCACAACAATTCCTAGATCCGCCACTGTACACAAAATCAGTTATCAACACACGTAATCAAATATACGGGCGTGCAGAATTTTTAATTAGTATACAGTAACCACACAGTCCATACCATAGGAACCGTCGTAGAAGTTTAAAGTGTAAAGCTTCTCTCCCCCCTCTCTTTGCCTATATTTACTCATTTCAGCATTTTTAAACAAATAAAATTATCACTTCAGAGTTATTTCTTTGGAGAGAAGAGAGAGTGTATATTCAAGAAAATCCAAGATTTTTTTATGAAACCATATGGAAGATCGCAAGGAGGTAAAATATTATCCCCCTCTATGTTTGTAGTTTTCATTCTTGAATTATCCATGTGACACTTCTGATAAATTAGATTAGACAAGATAATATTACTGAAGAAATAGGAGTTAAAATATTGTTCCCCGAGTCCCATACTACTGATTTAACATGGCCTCGAATGTCTTTTCTGAATTTTCAGGTGTTTTTTATACGGGAACTTGTGAAGCTGCCAAGAAAATGAATGTTTTGTTGAGTTTATGCTGGATCAATTACATTATGAAACTCTACAGAAAGTAAACAAAATAAAGTTTCCTTTTCTTTTCTTTTCTTTTTTTTTTCTCTCTCTTGATTTTTGTCTTAGTTGTCCACAGATTTTTGTATTCATGTGTTTGCTTTCATAATCTGGATGATGTTTAACATATTTCAGTTCTTGATAACATCTGCAGTAGCAGATCTAGAATTAAAGATCAGCTAGGGCGGCCGTTGACTAACGGCCGTAATAGCAAGATCATTATTAATATTTAATTAAATGATATTAAAAATTCTTCTATCTATATGTAAATTAACTAAAATGTAATAATCATATTCACATGAAAATATAATTCAGTACAATCCAAAATTATTTTTAAAAAAAAAGGTGTAAATAATTAAACCTCACTCTGTAACTTCTCAGATTTATCGTAAATCACAAGTTATACTATCATCAAGTTTAAATTTCCAACTTTCAGCAACAATTTATTATTTATCACACAAATTCCCCAAATTAACATTTAAATGATAATAACACAGCCATATAAAGTAAAGGTTCTCACTTCTGTCAAATTTATACACTTGATTAGCATTTTAGACTATACCTCTAAGTTAATAACAAAGAAAAAGAGAACACAAAAAACAGATAAATTCAAAATACACAAATGTAAATTTAAAATTCTAACCACTGCCAAGGGCAACTAGTCCACTTTCCACACGTTTAAAATCAGGCTCCAATTGCATTTAATCAAATTTTCTTAATTAAATAGATATAATTCTAACTAAAATCAATGTCTTCACAATTCACAAACCCTAAAATGCAAAAGATTCAATTTTTTTATCATTTAAGAATTAAGAAAATAAATGCAATAAAATTACAAGCAGGACTGGCGGCGACGGGTGGGAGTACACCGGGAAGTTGGAATCGCCGAGTAGGTGTCTCGGGTAGAAAAATAGGGAAATTTTCTTGATTGACTTCAGACTTGGGAATGGATTGTTGTGATTTATTTTTGGCAATTTTTTCTTCAGTGGGCCACAATTTAAAAAAAGAAAAAGGCCCATTCTTCCACATTTTTCTGGAGAGAAAAAAAAAAAAAAAAGGGCCCAAGTGCCTTGACTTCATCTTCCCCAATATCATATGACTTCTACCCGGCGAACACAGTCTCTCCGGTATCCGAATAATGTGCCGGTGATGCGTGACCCCGCGACGGAACGGACGTCCGGTAATATGCCTCCGGGGAGGGAGGGGAGTTTTCATACGGGTGTCATTATCGGAAATGATCGGAAAACATTACGAAAAAGACGAAATACCATGGCATGTTTGTTTTTCTTCTTGGTTGAAGGCTGAACCAAAGACAATGACAGCGTTGGCAGCGGTGGAGGAGTTGGTGGTGAAGGTGCTGACGGTTGCGCCTCCATGCTTGAACTTGGATCCCCCATTACCGGACCTTCAGAACCAGCAGTGGGAGAATTCCCACGAAAGAGAGAGATCTAGAGAAAGAAACAGGTTTGATTGTTTAATCTGAGGTTTCAAACCTGAAAATAGTGGCCATGGAATTGGGAAATTTATTTTTTTTTTTAATAAGAATTGAAGAAAAATAGGTAATGGTTTTGAGGTTTCCATGTCTTTTTTTTTTTTTCATGGAACATGCTTCAGTCCAATGCTCCCCGGTTTTTTTTTTTTTTTTTTTTTTTTTTAAATGGAACATGCTTCAGTCCAATGTCTTCGAAATCGTGGAACTAGAAATACCGCGTTACTCAATTTATTTAATTTTGATTAAATTATTGTGTTTATAACCATGATGGACTATACACTTCTGAACGTCAAATTGACCCTTTTTGCCAACAAAAATAACTCAAATTTAGTAAATTAACAACGTTAAATTTGCCATTATAAGATTCCCTTTCAATTCGTTCGTTTAGCGATTATTAAGTAAGCATCTAATAAGCCGTGTCTAGTATCTTGTCAATAAAGTAGAATTGGACTTCAGTTTTTGACATTGTTATAGACGAAATGGTCACATTGAAACAAAAATATTAGTTGGGAGATGAAATTCGAAATTTAGTCAATAACATTAAAAGATCCGAGATGGTATATTAGATGTCAGCGATGCGATTATGCTACACAAAATAATTATTATAGTCCACAAAGAGACATTAATATAATAAATAAATTATTATATAACTCATAAAAGGTAATATGGGCGCATCAACTAGACAAGTAAAATACAGGCTTTTAAAGAGATATTTTAATGGTAATGAATGTAAAGTAATGAATAAAAGTAACGAAAAGATAAAACATCTATTACATAATTTGATATTGAAAAATCAACCAAATCAATTTCCATCGGATCGTTTTGGATGGATTTGAACAAAAAATTTGGGTTGATTCAATTAATTTTTAACTATTAAAAAGTCGGATTGGATTAGGTAGGTTGCAATTTAAGCAACTAACTCGTCAATTAACCAACCTATCCACCTGATACAATTTTTTTTTTTTTCAATTTTAAATTTAGATTTTTTGCCCCTGTTTGGGACACATTATTTGTTTCATTAAAATGAGAATTCCAGCGTTTGCACACACAGCTGAACCCCACACATAAAAGATGAGAAGTCAACAAAACTGGCTGGATGTGATAATTAACGGTCAGAATTTTCATTTTTTGTCCAATAATGTGCCTCAAACAAGCCTTTAAACTTTAAACTCACAAACATTATTCTTTCAACCAATTTGTCTACCATTTTGCCTCTCTGATAAGTCTCTCTTTTTTTTTCCCTGTTACTTGCTCATATGTCTTCCGAAGGCAGTATCCACACATTTCTAAAGCTTCAAATATGCTTTCCTCACAAAACTTCATGTGTTTTGTAGGTTGCTTCATATGAGTTTACTACCTTAACTTGCATTCCAGGTGTAATCACGTATCGAGGAGCTAAAATTTTCGGTATTAATTTCTGCTGTAGATAATTAATGTGTTGTCTTTGTCGCTAATATAAAAGCTAGCTATTATTGCAATTCATAACTTTATCTCATTCCAAAGGGCTATCTTTCTTTCTTTTTTTTTTCCTTTTTTTTTTTTTAAATAATAATTTATTAATACCCTCACTTATGGCGGAGGAAAACTGTAGGAACAAACCATCAACTAATCTAAACAAATATACACAAAAAGTCACAACTATTCAAATCATCACCAACCATTACTTACTTTCTCAAATAAGCCGCTCCCATCATGTCCAAACAAAGTAATCCTTGAGCAAGTCTTGACAGTTCCGTCCACGTGTTATACCGTTGTGACAAACCTTTAGCTCCCATCCCAGCTAAATAATCAGCCACTTGATTGCATTCCAAAGGGCAATCTATATGTTCTCCCACATAGTAAATTTCAAATGCATTTTAGACAAAAACTGCCAGTTCTGTGAACAGCTATGTTTTGTTCTACCTTATTGGTTTAGGCTTCATTTTTAAATATGCCTGAATTAAGAAAACGTTTGATAAGCTTCCTTTGTTATAGGAATTGTTATAGATGCAATTATGATACAGCATGGATCCTACAACCATCCTTTAAGTTTAAACTGTGATGCCTGTTTGTGAAAATAAGGCTACCAAATGAATGGAAGTTTAATTTGTTTACTACAGAAAATAGTTTTATTATAACAACTATGTATAAAATGTAAATTTCTCTCGTCCATCTGATACCGAAGGCCTACTTCCGTCCTATTTCGATGGGTGACCGATTATTTTGTTTACACTGATTTCATTATTGATATATGCACATAACAATCATTAAATTATAATTGAAGAGAGAAAGAGGGGAAGAAGGAAAGAGAGGAAAGGGAAAGGTGTGGGAGCTAAGAGGCAAGGAACGAACACCCCTACATGTATAATAAAAAGGAAATGGACACAAGGGGGACATGTTAACTTAAATTATTTAATTAAAATTATACTATATAAGATCTTTATTTTTAGACTTGTCAATGTTTAATAGAATCAATACTTTTCTAGTTTTGATTTTTTGTTGTTAAAATCTGATGAGTAACTTTCTTCCTAAAAATTATGACACACCACGTTGTGTGTATGACACATCTTGAAGTATTCAAGGAGTGTCGGTGACCAAGAGGACACGACACATTTTGGATTGTCCATCCTAGTAGAAGTGTCCGTGATAGTTGGGGAGGATCAGAGTTCATATGAGGGTACCTGACCTAATTTAAGTAGAAAGCATTTTAGGAAGTACAATCCTATAATTGAGTTCAAAATATAAAATGGCAAGAATTTTGAATAAAATTTAATTTTGCATCAGTTATACTCTTGCTTTTTGTCAGCTTGCAGCATGTGTTTTGAAAAACTATTGAGGCATGCCTTCTTCATATGACTTAGATGTTAGAAATTATACATTAATGTTTATTCTGTAAAGAGTTTTGAAACTATTTATGTTATCTGATTTATCTCCTAAAGAAGTTAAGTTTAAGCATATGTAAAAATGAATAAGGAATTTAGAATGGCTGTCGAGGCATGAGAGAATATAGGGGTTTGAAAATTCTAGTTACGGAGAAGATTGCATTTATTAAAAAAATCAGCTAGCAGCAGGTGTAAAAGTTGATGGCTCATTGAATTTTTGTTTCCATATTGGTCATCGATGATAATATGGATGTTTGAATAAAAGACAAAGTTCGGAAAGTTCTATTGGCATTTTAAGAATGATTTATGAACCATGCGATCTTGAGCAAGTGAACTAATCTATATTCTTCTGTTCTTTTTTGGGTTGTACAACTTTTTCTCAAGGAAGCAACTATCGTTCCTTTAAATTTTCTTATGTGGTTCCCTTTTTAATTTTTCATGGCATAGATCATAATAAGGTATATCATCTATGAAAAACTGAGTGACTGTTGTGGAAGATTATGTTCCAGCGCCAGCAGTCTCACCATTTTCTATCAGAATTGAAAGCCTTTGCCTTTTTGTACTTATTATTGAATATCGTTTTTTTTTTTTTTGCTGGCAGTTATTGGATCTTCCTGGTATTATTGAGGGTGCTAAAGATGGAAAGGGTAGAGGTAGACAGGTAAGACATTTTTTCTGATCACTGATTCAGTACTATTTTCTTGGTGGTTTTAACCCCATCCCCTCTTATGCTCTTCATCAGTTTCTCTTCATACCATGATTCTATCTGGTCTGAATTCAGGTCATGTAACTGTATTCTTACTGTGTTGGATGCAATAAAGCCAATTACTCACAAACGACTCATTGAGAGAGAGCTTGAGGGATTAGGTATAAGGTAACATCTTTGTTGTG